AGTCAGTAGCTAAATATAAATGGTTCATTAAGAGTGATGAATATACAATCTGCTGCAGTTAAATCACATCAGGTAGAAGTTGAAGTTTTCAGATGCCTCAATTTTCACACAGGCAAAAAGATCTGAAATTATCAAGCAAGAGAAGAAGGGAAGTTTTGTCTCATCTGTGTCGTTAAGAAGATGGAGTGCTTTTGCTGGAACTGACCTCAAATCTTGCATAAGAAAAAGCAAAGAATCTGTTAAAGCAAGGTCTTTTTCAGTGGATATTTAACAGACAGAAAAATCAAGATTCCTGGAATCTTCGAAGTCTGGTGGTTTCCTGAGCAGCTGATATCTCTACCCAGTTACAAGGCCAAATCTCCTGCCAAAAATAGATCATCTGCATTTCTAAACCTGCCAAGACACCCAGTGTGGGGGTGAAGGTGTCTACCACAAAATAAATAAATAAAGAAATCTGAAGCTGAAATGGCCTTAAGGCCATTCAGAAATTACAGATTTACATCTAATTAAAATATTAGAAACATCAGCTCGATAGGGTTTTTTCTTCCTGCAGATTTAATCAAAAAGGTCTTTATGACTCAAGCTTATTTAAACTGAGAATCTGCATTGCAGCATAAAGCTCTTTCTTCTGGACTTACTCTGATTTGAATCAGCTTAATACTCAGCATCAGCTGCATAGCCAGTGCATCTTCTACGCTTCTACGCTCCTTAGATGAGAGGAAAGTGTATTTACCTATTTTGATGCGTATGCCACTGACACTTGACTTCCTACGACTTGCATAAGACAACAGAATGTTCTGTGGTTTAAGGTCTCTATGAATGATTCCTTTACTGTGCAGAATCCGCATAGCTGCTGCGATCTGCTGCAGGAACACGCGGATGGTATCTTCACTGAGAGTCCCTTTAGCTGAAAATAACATACACATTAGCACAGATGAGAAAACAGCATCCTTGGACAAAAAAAAGTAATAAATTTCACAGTAATCAACAGTGAAAACAATGAAGACAATCAAATCAACAGTGAAATCATTAAAAATAACCCAGTTTCCCATATTTTCTATAAATGTATAGATCTAGTTATATATTCATCTCCATAGTTCTACCCTAGCTTTCATACTCTAAATTATCTGCTTTTACAGTATTTTACTTAAATGTAATTTGGAAGTTTTTTCAGAATATACAAAATCATTTCTGCAGCCTGGAAGAGTTCTGAACACAGGGGCTGGATTACATCATGAGCCTTTCCAAGGATATTAATGGAAGGTGAATTAAGCTTTTAATATACACAGTTACCATAACAATAGCTGTTCACAAGGATTCATTCAGCATATTGCAAACGTAAAGGCAAGTAAACAATAAGGATGTTCACCAGAACAATAAAGATTAAAATATCCATTCAAAATTCTGTTTTTAAGAAGAATCAATTTGTTTTGATGCTGTAACTTCTGCCTTCGCTTTGGACAGAGCCATGGTGAAGGGCAAAATCTCTACTGAGCCCAAACCTCCTCTTTGTACTCATTATTTAAGTAATTCAATGTATTTTTAAGGTCACATCTTTGAAAAGAACGCAAGTAAAAATCAGGAGACAAAGAGCAACACCCAAAAATATGACTTTAAAAATAGGAAATCAGTAAGTGTTTTTTTTACCATGCTACCTCTGGTTTGATAACTCTTCCCATACATACAAATAAGGCAACATTATATTCAAGAGTTTTGGAAGCAGTGACAAAAAGCATTTCCTGCCTATGCATTATTTTATTCATTCTTTTATTCTTAGCTTGCAGTTTTTATTTTTGAAGTGATATTTAAAATAACTTGGAATTATTTTTAAACAAACGCAAAACCCTTCCTACAGCATCAAAGTTTAGTTTTCAAGTTCCTGGAGTTGTACAGAGGACATGAACTGCACTGCTGATGACCTTGACCGCAGATAGGATTAACACTAAACAGACCCTTAGTCAGTCCCTGGGCAGACATTAAGATTTTTCTTTGTTAGTTTTAAGAAAACCATTGGAAGGGCTGTCTAGGAGACAGGCGACAGCAGTCCAGCTCTCCAAAAGCAAAAGGCTTCCCCTTGTCCCCCCAGAATAGCAGAAATCAGAGCAACCAACAAGAACTGCTATATTTAATTCTGGCTTTACATTTACAATCAGAGATCTGCCATTTTGAAGCACTTGTCTATCTGGCTTGATTAGCGCTAAGACCAAACAGGCATCACAGAATGAGATCAAGTATCCTGAAAATTAACTGGAATGTGGCCAGAAAGTTTTCACATACAAGAGTGCACATTCTTCCAGATGACGCTCTGGGGAAGGAAGAACAGGGAGGAAGGCCAGCTCCAGCTGCCCACGTATCGTACACTTCCATATGAGGGGAAGCCTCCTGACTGTATCCGAATGAAGCATCCCTACATTTGTTCAAAACTCTCCCTATGGAGCAGCTAACGTAGAACTGATTAATAAATTCAATGGATCTTACGGTGAGGGCACTCCAAGATCACACCAGGAGAAGCAGCATTATGAAGTTACAGCCATTCCATAATTAGGAAAATAAATATTCAAACCACAAGCAAAATCTCAGAAAAATACTGATGGATTACACAAATACAGAATACAAACATGTAACGCAGTAACTTCCTAACAGGGAAATATAGTAATCAGTTACCTTGCAAGTAATCTGCCAAATCCCCACCATTGCAGTACTGTTAAGAAAAAAAGTTTTTACTCAAAACATGAGCACTGAAAAACACAGAAGAATTTTTACTTTGCAATCTTTTTATTAAAATCAGATGACCCTTTCCAGGTGTTTGTCTTAATACTGTTTTTCAGTTTATAATTATTAATTCAAAGCATAGCACTTCATTAACACTTTCAGATTCAAAAAACAATGATGAATAATTTGCAAAACAAAAAATACCAAGATTAGTACTGCATATGAAATTAATGAACTACTTTTCAAAATTACTTATTATAGCAAGTCAAGGTTACTGTGTAGTTATGTCCATCAAGTTTTTTTTTTCTTTTCCTAAGCATTTTGTCCAAAAACCACTCTTAAAATCAGCCAAGAAGAAATATACATTGACACATACCTCCATTACCAAAAAGACAGAATTAGGCATTTCCTAAAAGAGAAGAACAAGTCCCATTTATGAATGTGACATGACAAAGCCCAGGACACTTGCATTAACCAAGCACAATAGGTGATTTTCAATCAACTGAGACACCTTTACGTTAAAGGCAGCATTTGCTACCATTGGAACAGTAAGCTCCCTATAATTAAGGATTTCACATTTTAGAGAGGCATAAATACATATAAAACAATCACCAGACAAAACCCTGAAGACTGGAGCTATCCTTTCAAAGAGCAGCACACAGCAGATAGTATCAGCTTCTGGGGTATTTGGGCTCCTTGGCTTTCTGCTGCCTCCAACAGGTCTCTCAATCACTATATTAAAAGCCCCTGCTAATCAGTATACATTTACTATAAGACAGCACTGAAATGAGTCAGTACTGGAATAGTAATATTTGGTCACAAATATGCAGGATACAAGTCAAAATGGAAAGCCAGACAACTCGGCTATGAAAATCAGTTTTCCATAGGAGGAATTCCACAGTTATGTTCCTTACTTTTTGGCAAAACAGCTTCAGTTCTGCCATCTGAAAAACCTGAAGGTCAAGTAGAATTCAGGGATCTGTTACATGTCTGAAATAATCTGGATCCCCAAATGCACCTTCAATTCCCTCTCTTGCAACAACGGAGTAAGAGTTACTGAAGGATGCATTAGCTCATTCTAGTTATGAATTGTCCACATACTTCACAAAACACAGTGAAGACTTCTGGGCTTAAACTAGAATAGTGAAAGAACTTTTAATTTTTTACAAACATTTATTTTGTGTCAGAAAAAGAAAAGTCTGCCTATACACACACACACACTCTCCAGTAATCAGCAATTTTTTCTACAAAGACTCCTGCACAAACCTTTTCTGCTGTGCCTATAAAGCTGAGGATGCTCAGAGATTTAGACAGTGTAAAAACTTTTTTCCTCTCTAAGCCATGTAAGAATGCAAGTAAATAACAGAGAACTAAAGGGAAGAAATAGATCCTAAATAAAATGATGTTTTAGTTGAAAGGTACTCTGATACAGTGTTCACTTTAAAACCATCTTAGGCATTGGCTGCTTGAGAGTTTGTAGGAAAATAAGTTTCTAAGATACTTTTAGAGCGCGAAAGGGCATACCAGGCAAGGTCAGGCAAGTTCCACATTTGGAAGCAGAACTGTAGCCTGTCTGGCTGTATTCTGTAGACTACTGCCAAAAAAGCCAAAAGAGACATTGCATGGCAAAGCGAAACCTGTCAACTCTGCTGTTTTTCTCAGTACTTCTTTAAAATCTCAGCACACACTCAATTTGACCACACTGGCAAGGACTTCCACACATAGAATCATTTTCAAGGGTGCACAGAAAGGTCAGTATCAGCTAGGAAACTGAAAACAAACAGAACAAAACTAGCAAACCAACCCACAAGAGCCCAAAACAAACCCCGGTGCTGTCACGATAACCCCAGAGCTGGATGCAAAGATGAACAGGGGGGCTTTGACACCGTCAGTGCTCACTGCTGTGGTGCACTACTGCTGTCCAAGAGATCTTCACTAAGAAACCCAAGGCACACCCAACTGCAAGAATAACCTGTTGGAAATGAACTGGATGTTTTAAGGTTAATTACACTCAGTCCCTTCACTTTCTGCAAGCATTTGCTTTAGCCACTCATCTGTGTTCCAGCAAGGCACTTGAGGTTTCTTCCAGCTCAGAACATTGAGCGTATTACAGATTTGTTTACTTTTTGACATCAGTTTCAAAGAAAGCAAGTTTCTAGGAATATTAGTGAAGTCTACTGGGAATGCAGAGCTAACTCCAACCAGTATAGAATATTAAGCAAAAGGAAATCACATTTGGGTAAGTCCCAATTTTTCAGTGTTTCTGGAACAGCTGCTGCCAAAATGAGCCATAATTTGCAGTTTTATAAATGCCTCAAAACCTAGGTGAGGTTTATCAGAAAGTCAATACACTAAAGCAAAAAGAGACAAGCAAGTGCCTCCTCCATAGATTACTAAAAATATGTAGTGATAAGCCTTGTTTTTCCTACACTACTCCTTTGCAAGAAAGTCTTCTGAAACAAAAATTCATCTTCTTTTATGAAACCTAAGGATGCCAGGCAACCCACAGCTACAATCACAGCATCTGAAGAGTCTATCAGCACTAAACTAATTCCAAATACTTTTCATCATTTCCCTCCCCAAAAAGCTAGTCTCATACTTGAAGGATGGAAGGATCAGCCAGGACACCTGCTTCCACTCATCTCTGACATACTTGCTCTGTGACTGTAAATAAATCTTTTTCCAAGCAACAAGAACTGCTATTCCCTCAAACTGGAACCACAAGAAGCAATTCCCTTTAAAGTGTTCTGAAGTCTTTAATAGGAGTTGTTTTCCCACACAAAATGAGAAAATGGAAAGCTATCAGCAGTTATGATTTTTTCCTGTGCTTCAAACTATAATGCATTAATCCATACTCTGAGAATCCAGTTTAGCAAACTATGACTTCTGCCAACAGAGGATCACTTCACTTACAGGACAACAGCAATGTGCAAAGGCGGAAGCCCCAAATTCATCTCTTCAGTGACAGGAAAGCTTAGCTAGTGGATATGCTCCTGAACACAGTAATCCCGCAAATCAGAAATAAAAGTCCCACAGAATTAGTGGCTGCACTATGCAGCAAACACTGCAGAAAAACAGCAGCTACGAGAGTACGTAATGCCCAGCTCCTGACAGACATTTAGCAGTCCCAAAGCTAGGAGAATCTCTTTTCTGGATTCCCTTGGAAGCAAAGTTTACCCAGCCTTTCTTCCTCCAACTATCCGCTCTGAAGGCAGGCTCTTCTGAGGACTGCAGAGAGGCAGATCTGTGAATTTCATCCTGGTTTCGGAGAAATAATGGCAAACTGACTATAGAGTGAAATTACAAACCCTGTATTAAATATGCTCTCAGAGTAACTTTATGTTATGTTCAGAAGATTTGATAACTGAACTATTCTAACAAAACTGTCAAACTTGATCTAGACTTCTAAAGCTCTTCCATTTAATATAGAATGTTTACAATATCTTACAGTAAATGTGCACTGTGGTGTTCAGGTATTTTCCACAAATATGCATAAGTTTCCCCACTGCATTCAGACCACCCATTCCAGTCCATTCTCCAGATATCTGGGACCTGCTCTACAATTCACTAGGCGTTTTACAGATCATGACACTTCTTTTTAGCCCAGCATGTAGCCTCATCCACTACAAGACTATACAAGTAATCCTGGTTCCTTCCTAATTTGCATGCAGTTTGGAAAGGGAGCTTTGGAAATCATTAAATACCACTTCCAACTGCTGTTGGAATTACAGACTATAGACTATATTTGATTTTCCTCAAATACCATTGCTCAGTTTCTTCTTGACTGATATGTTTGACTAACCCAGTGATTTGTTTTATTACTAAGTCACAGTGAGAAGTAGAGTGGGTTTCTTTAATGCAGGTCAGGATTAATCCTTTTTTTTATTAAATCAGCATAGCAGATTGGGAAAATCTCTTTGCAAAACCTCTAATCTGGTCAAGAGTCATATCTAATTTGTATTGCAGAAGTAACATTTTGCATAGTGCTGCTAACCAAGCTGCCCAGCCATGTTTCATACCAATTTTTCCACACAGCCAAACCTCTTTCAACTCCTCACCCATGCAAGCTCCAGTTCAAAACATCTGGAATGGCTCATCAGTTCAGTTTCTCACATTTTGCATTAGTGGTTTTGAACAGTCTGAGAATATAATCTCCATTTTGAGAATATGTTCAGAAAGCAAGTCAAATTTGGTATATAACTTTTCCCCATTTAAATTGCTTTATTATTTTTAATCTCAGACTTCCAACCTTTGTCTCAGGCGAAGCAAAATTCCAACCCAAATCAGACTCAGCAGAGTAGTTCCATTTAACATCCCAGACTTCTTTTTGGTTAGAAAGTCCTTCTTTAGAAGAAACTCAAGTCTGCAATGAGCTTTCAGTGAGTTGCCAAAGCAGAACTGGTGACAAATAAATAGTTACTCCACTTTTGCTCCATGTTTATAAATTCTGTTTAGCTACAGTTTATGATCCGAATCCCAAGAGCACGAGTTAGCCTGAGAGCTTGTACGCTGCAGTGAAGTGATTAATTTTCTGGTATTAATTCATGCTGCATTTATAATTTCTTGACCATAAGCGTAATCCTTTTTTTGGAGAACAAATATGGCAAAAATTCTAATGATTTAGTGAAAAAATACTGGTCCACATTTATTTTGAAGCTATTTCTCACTGTATTATATGACCCCTTCATTTTGCCTTGTGAGTGCACCACAGCAGCAGCTTCTAACATGAAAGGACTGAACATTCTGCTGGTTCCAACTAAATCTTAAGTCTCAGACTAAATGTCAGTTGACATCTGCCTGTAGGATTCAAATAGCATGTATGCTGCCAATTATTCACATAAAAGAGCAGTTAGCCATGGGAAATACACCACAACAGCAGTACCATTCACTTTCTGGTATGTGAAATGTCATACTTTAATATATATGGTGGGTACGAATCTGCAACACACTGGCTAGCTAAACAACACAAGAGAAAGACAAAACTGTGTAGCAAAACTGGCACAGCTAGTATATCAAAATCTTTACATTTCCTAAAAGAGGGATTTTTTTCTTTTCTTTTGGTCCAAAACTACTTTTATTATTTGTGGAGGGGAGAAAAAAAAAGTTATCCGAACAACATGTTTTCATATAACTATTCCCACTCAGGGAGGATGGATATTGGCAAATATGGAGACCTTAAAGAGCTCAGGACAAAAATAAAGATATTGAGACATTCTCACTTAAAAGAGGCTGTGCCAGAAAAGGCTTAGGATGAAAGTTTGGATGCAATCAAAAACAGCAAGACAACAGACTCAAGATCACACACCGGAACCCCTGAAGCAACCACCCCAAGAAATGCAGGCGATTCCAGGAGAGCGGCAGGAATCTTTGAGTAAACTTAACAAGAACACTTGATTCACACTGGTAAAACAGCAGAAGCAGCTGTAGATATTTTATCTGCTTTGCACTGACAAGCTCAGACAAGGAACAACTTCTGCTCAGATACTGTTTCTCCAGTACCAAGCAAGGAATTAGTTATCTTTAAACTACTGTTCAAACAGCAAACTTCAGGCTCTATACAGTGTAGGTATTAATTCATTCTACTAAAACACCTCTTCCCAAGATACATTACAGGCTTTCATTCCACTGTCTGACATTTTAAAGAGGTTTTGAATTAAATTATTTTCTAAAACAGGCACTGTCTGGCACTGAAAAGATTAGCTCTATTCAACACGCACTTGGGATCATGAACTGTAGAAAACTGTAAATTCGTGGCCTAAATATAGTGCATTCCAAATAATTTACTGATACCTTCAGACTCAGAAGAGAATTTTGTCCAAGGAACTTTTTGCTTTTAAGGTTAGGTTGTTTTAGACTCTCTACTTTTGAGAAACAGTGGATTACTCTTCCCTAATTAATGTGATGAGACCCAAGATTCTCTGATCTTCTTTGCAGGATCAATGATATCCCATAGCACTACCAGAGCAACAAGAGCTGTATCTATTTTTGTACATGTGGACCCAAGATTCTCTGATCTTCTTTGCATATCCCATAGCATTACCAGAGCAACAAGAGCTACATCTATTTTTATACATGTATATGTGTATGTGTGCATATATACACACATGCACACACACTCATACCATTTTAGTGTTACAGGAATTTATTCTAGAATGAAAGAATGCCAAACTCTTGCACAAGAAGAGAGACTCAATGGCTTATGTCTTGCTAGTCATCTACTATGTTCTGATTTTTTAAAACCATCTCACCTAATTTAAAAAAAAAAAAAAAAGTATTTCACCTTTAGAAGTGAATTCCATATATTTACTTTTCAGAGCCCTGCTACTGCAAAGCATTTCTCCTTCACATATGGAAACTTCCTATGTAAGTGTCTCCACAAGTTTTCAGTCTCAGAATTGCAGCTCTCCACATCCTGCTTGGGGCAGCTCCGAGGTGTCACAAGCAGCAGGGATCCTCACTGCTCACAAAAACCTGAGTGCAAAGCAAACCTGTCAGCACAGCATGAATCACCTGACAGAAATCATGGGCAATTATTGTGCTGACATTAGTCCAAGAGGCTTTAGTTCCATCCAAAGCATAGGCAACATCAATGGCTTACCAATTCATCTGGGGACATCTCCAGGTGAATGGGCATGCTGGAAATTTAATTCAGTGGAGGCCAAAAGTAATATATCATGGTGGTGTTTGTAACCAGCTGAAGCAGCAGCAAAGAATGTTTTTTAAAGGTTCACACAGTATGTGCAGCATGGTTCACAGATCTCTTTAGATCTAACTACAACTCCTAATGGCACACATGTTTATTACATGGACTTGGGCAACCAATCACAGATCATGCAATAAGACGACAACCATAAATGAACAGAGACAGAAGAAGAGGAATATGTGAAGCTACCTTCCGTGAACACAATTCAAAATGAAGCCTCCTGCAATATGTAAAACATTAACTACACTTTCATTCTCAATCTTAAAAGATACATTCTAAATTGCTATATAGAAGTACAACTTTAATCTCAAAGTACCACCAATACATACAAGCAACCTCACATAATACCACAAACGATGTAAAATACTTATTCTTCATTACAAGTCTTTTACACTTCTTTTACGTGGTTTTGCCACTTATATCGTGCACGCACTTTCCCAGCTGGACACTTACTACAACAATTGGGTGTTATTCAGTTAAATGGTCTGCCAAACAGTTTATCTGAAACAAGGACATTTTCCAATATCTAACCAAGATTAAAAAAATTAATAACAATAAACAAAACCAGCACAACTATAAAAATAAAACAGACTGCCAGGCACACTGAGAACTCCCTACTGTGAGGGACTCTAGTGGCTGCAGCACAGAGAGGAAAAAAAGTTCTTGTTGCTAAAAAATTGCTTGAATTCCCCAAGTCTTATCTACTGTAAAATATCTCTGTGTTCACAATACTATGACAACAAAAAGGACAGCACATGCTTGAACATGAAATCCTAGAGAAAATTAGTAGGTGCACCAGACTACCAGACATGGGCTTGCATAGCATTCGTTCTTGCTGGGTTATAAGTTAATGTAATCACAAGTTAATGATAGAGTATTTCACAAACACAGTCCTATGTAGAGAAAGAAAGGCTTACTTGTGCTAGTGTCACATACTCTAGAATGTATTTGCAAAGTAATTTCTTGTACAGAAGTAGCATCCTACTGACAAGCTTTATACTTGCTATGAATGCATTTTAAATATACCCAAGGTCCGAGACATTTTTTCCTTCTCTTTGCTGTAACTCTTTGTATTTCAGTGCAGCATTCAGTGCCAAGCAGGAACATCCCCTTTTCAAGTTGAGAACACAGGCCTAATCAATCAAGTCTTGAGTCTAACATTTACTCTAAGGGCACCCTTTCACCTGTAGCAGAACAGATGCGTATAGAAGCTAAGTTTCTAAATAACCTTTATGTAAAAAAATCACAAATAAGCACAGCACTGTCCTCTTCTCCCTAATGGATGCTCAGTGCAGAAATCAAAAGGAAGAAGAACAGCTTCAAGACTTACAGTTAGATGATGTACAACGTTAAGTCAACAAAACACATCATACCAAGTCAAGTGTCTTCAGGTTAAGCTTCAAAGCTTAATAAGTAATCTTGCATGTAAATGATAAATGAGAAAGCCAGCTGCTTACTCACACACCAACACCCTGTCAGCAACTGTTGTTTCTCTTAAGATGTCTGGATATACTATATTTAGGATGCTGAGAAATTATTTCCATTTAGCATCTCGGGAAAGCTTCATGTCTTCAAGAAGCACAAGAGGTTTTACTCTCTCCCCCACCAGCTAATACCACTCAAAATGCAAAATTTTGAAGCCAAGACACAGAAAGGAGAAAGTCTACACACCCAAATAGGAACTTTTTATGCACAGCCCATTACAACATGAACACCATTAATTATATCAAGAGTCAACAGACATTAATACACATCCTGGAGCGTTATATACAATAAAACCTGGGTCTACTTGGTGTGAACACAGATTTCCATATCTAAACGTCTATGTGCAAGCTGAAAATCTTTTAAGACACAGTCATAGAGAGACAGAAAACGCTGAAGAAGGTTGAAATGTCTGTTTTACATTGATCTAACTATGCGGTGCCCCAAGGGTTGTTCTTAATAATTTTATTCATAAATGTGACTGTATTTAAGATTAGAATTGAGCCCAGGAGATAAATGTATAGCCCTTACTCAAGCAGAGGGAAAGGATGCATAATTCACATCATCTTGTGTTTAGCTTTACTCAACACTAACAGGCCTTAGGATACAAATAAATAAATAAATTTCCTACCAAGTAGAACATATTAGCTGAAATAAGTAATAGCTAACAGAAAAAAAAAAAAACTTCCTCATCTCACCAGTCAGAATCCTGGAAAAAGTAAGACCTACTTTTACTTGAAAATATCCAAACAATCCTTTAGACGGATCAAACAACTTTTATTCTATCTTTATCCTATCTGTTTAACACAGATAACTAACAGTAACACACACGTGATCACATTCTTCTACTTCTTTCAGTCCTTCCTCACAGTGACACAGAGCTACACAGTACATTTCTTAGCTATTTCAAAGGCCTTTTCTACTTTTTGCCTTTTCTCCACAGAGTATTTAGTTATCATGTCTTCATAATGTCACTTGCTTCAGATCCATTCCTAGCACACTTTCCTTTGGGTGTATTCACTCCTTATCCACAAACATCCACTTCCCAATTAAATTACAGGGCCAAGGAAACAAGGCTAATTCCAAAGAGCTGCCGCCACCGACACAGCGCCCAGCCCAGGCAGCTGCTACTGCTTCTCCAGGGACAGGACCAGACTACACAAACAGCCTCTGCAGAGATTCCCGGGATCTCATTCGCCCCTGCTGCCAGGAAGGGGACCGGCCTCCTCGCAGCTTCCCATCACTCCCCTGCACCTGCTCATTAGGAGCAGCCAAGATAAAACAGCGCATGATGCGCTGAGGATGAGAGAACATCCCCAGGCTGCTGCTAAGGAACCGCATTTTCTTTCTTAAAACAAATCACACCAACAAAATCCCATTTCCAAATTTCTACTCGCCTTATATATGCAGTTTGTTTTCCTAAATACATTTTAATATTGGGAAAGGCATCAGGATATAGTTTACCTGGACATCGTAGAGAGCTACAATGTTCTCATGTTGAAGTTCCTGCAAAAAAAAATATTTGTATTACGGAAAGAGCCCATTATTATGATTCTTTAAATATGCCAAATGATGAGAGAAAAATCAAATTTTACATTGAAAGATAGTATCTTTTTTGCCACCTGATGAAATTTGTTCTCCTATTATTGTCTGAATAGCTAAGTGTTCTTCCAAAGTAGAATTTATTTGCAACATCTTGTTATAGCAAATACTACAGCACAAGATCTTTAGATGAGCACTGAAAACTAAATTTAATTTTGCATTTTCACACAATTCTTGCTTAGGGGAGAAATCAATCACATTATTTTCAAGTCAACATTCCATTTTCCATTTACATGAAATGGCAAATAACACCAAATAAAATTTGCAGGACAGTTCACATGATTATTTGCAACTGCTCAAAGTGTCTTTGACAAGTACTTGCAGCACATCATTATATTCTAGAAATTCTGGTGTTGGTTAAGTTATAGTGATGTGTCTCAAGAAATGTGAAGACAGCAGACTAACAATCACCACAAAGCTACATCAGATGAAATGTTGTGATGGTCAGAGAGCATCCACAGAGGCACTTTGTGGAAAACAGAGCAGAACTAAACGATGCTTTTTTTGTTAGACCAATACTACACATATTAAGTCAATTAACTCAGAAATGGAAAGTTCGGCGTGCCAAATTTAGTTCTTAAGCCACCTTTGGGCAAAAGAAATAAATTATATAAAGGTCAAAGATTGATGTTTTGACCTCCACTATGACTTTTGCCACATATACTGCTCTGGAAAGGTGCCAGATTAAGCATCCTGAAGGACAAAGTTTTCTAGACATGCAATAGGTAAAGCACAGAAACTAGCTCTGCAACGTTTTCAACTGAATCTATAAGACTTTAACCACTCCTCACACTACTCCCAAAATGGAAAAAAATATATCTCTTCTGTGTTTTTCCAGTTCTGGATATCTTTTGGAACAAAGAAGCAAGAGGTGGGATAGCAATTACTGTGTTATTACCCATGACCTAGAATGAACTAGGTCAAAAGTCTCTTTTCCTTTTAAAGTAAAGCAGCTTTAGAAACCACTGCAAAGTAACATACCTTCAAAATTTTTATTTCTTTCCCAAGTAGAATTTGTGACTTGGACAAGTTCTTTTTGTTAATACTTTTTATGGCTACTTCCCAATCAGTTTTCTGCAAACAAAAAAGAAAAATATGGTCAGCTTTATACATTTTAACACTATCCATGAGCAGGTAACTAGTCAAGCAGTGGAGGAAATGCAGCAAGATCATCCCTGCTCCACCTGCTTGAAGTTACTGCTACTTCATATAACACCACAAAGAACTCTGCTCCACTCCTCAATAGTTTGGAGCTACCAAAATCCAGATACACCCCATTTCCACTGTCTGTGAAGAAATTATTAAAGCAAAAGCAGTGGTGCATATGCCATTCCAGCAGCTGGCCTGGTGGCTTTTTGGACCCCTCTCCATCATGAGAGTACTTCTGCTCTTCCCCCAAAGACTTCCTAGCTGCAGCTTCCTCACACTCTTACACGCCCGAGCTGAAAACAGCACAGAAAAAAATAGCTTAAAAATAGCTTGTCCATTTATTTGCAAGGTGGAAGCATCTCTGATGGCCTTTTGGGCTCCCAACGCTTTCATTTTTGTCCAAGCAAGAAAATCCCTGCACTGCATCCCTCTGGGCCGTGGTCCTGCTGCTCTGGAGCCCTTTTTGGGGGAAATCGGCGCACTCCTCGACACGGGCACCAAAATAAACTCGGGCATCCCGGAGCAACCCTGCACCTCGCTGTGCACACCCGGGCAGCGAGGCCAAGAACAGGGACACCTGCGAGTTTCAGAAATCTTCAGCCCACCCCAAACGAGCCCTTCATTTTATTATTACAAATACATGCATATGTATATATATATATATATGTTTTCTCTCTGGGAGATCCCTCGCTACCCGGCGAGATAAACATGACCCCGCTGCCAAACAAAGGGCTCGGCCTCATCTGCAGCCGCCGCCAGGCGCGGGAGCAGCGCGACGCGCAGCCGGGGCCCTTCAAAACCATAATAAAAGTAGGACAATAATACAAAATAATAAGTTATGGTTATTATTAATAGCTTTGTCAAGGTTCAAGGAAACAGCAATGACCAGGCCCCTCCAGAAGTACCTCTCCCCCCCCGCCGCCCCTGCACCGCTCTTTTTCCTACTGTTAACACCCAAATCACAAGGAATCCCCCCAAAACCCCTGTGCCCCC